CTTAAAATAAAAGCCTTTGAAGCAAGGCACTAACAGTATGTGAACCTCAAAAGGCCAAATTGAAGCTCTACATATTTGTAAATGTTATGCGTCGTGACCAATTCATGTGGTTTTGACTGATGATTTCACCTACATTAGGTTAGATATACTGTACAAGGTGTAATGGCCTATTGATGTTATAGATTAAAATAGAGTGAATTTCAGGACTAATTTCAAAATCTTAAAGCTTATTTACATTTGGGGCATGTAAATTGAATTAAAACAATTTATGTTTTTTGGGAATCAGGGGGTTCTGTCTCAAATTAATTTGCATTTGTTGATTGTGATTCTCCTATTTATTTGATTTTGTAGTTATGTCCAGCAGTTGTATTTCTTTCTTGGGTTATACTGTTTGCATTTAGCCTGAATACCAGACTTTGTCCTAAAATATCTACCTGCAAGTTCACTTACTCACTTACTTATTGTGTCAAATGTGCAATGAAACATTCCCCAAATTTGTGTTTAATTAAATACGATTTCTTTTATTTTTTCTCTTAGAAAAGTCTTGGAAGTTTCTTGTAGAAAACTGAGTGGAATATGATATTTGCACTGACATTATCAAATAAGGATTAAACAGCTAATAGAGGGACATTATCAAATAATGAGACTATTCTATGTCTTTATTTATGGCTGATAATACATGAGGAATTAAAGGTCTTGTTATAAGACAGATGTTTATGAAAATATTCTTGCTGGATTAATTTAAACTAATATTCCTAATATTTAAATCAATCCATGTTTATGTTTATGTTCATGCATTTAGCAGATGCTTTTATACAAAGCGACTAACAAAATAGACACAATATTTCAATTATCATAAGTTCTCGAGAGGAAAAACCCTATTCAGAATCAGTGGTGACAGCAAAGAAAGAGGGAAGTGCAGAAATAGTAGTAGAGGGGGTACAGAGGTATGGGTAAGAGTTTGGATAGGAGATGCTCTTTAAAGAGGTGGGTCTTTAAGAGTTTCTTAAGGATAGACAGGAACGCTGCTGTTCTTGTAGCTCTTTGTAGGTCATTCCACAAATTTGTATAAAGTGTAGTTGTGATTTCTAGTCAGTTAAGACATTCCATCTGTCTCCCTCACAGGTACAGCATTGGAGACTATGAAGTCATCGATGAGGCCACCAACACCATCAAGATGGACAGCTGGCTTTACCAGTTGGCTATCAGTATTGGATCACCTTATCGATACAATGCCAGCGGCTCAGGCCAGTGGGAGGGTGGCCCCGGCAAAGACTCTCTGTACATCACATCTCTGTATTTCACCATGACAAGTCTTACAACTATTGGCTTCGGCAATATTGCCCCGACCACTGATGGAGAGAAAATCTTTTCTGTGGCTATGATGATGGTGGGATGTAAGTATGACAGACACTCACTGACACATTTTGCTTTAAGTATCCTGTGATGATAGCTTTCTTGGCAAAACTCTGTATTTCTGTTGTGAATTTGGTCACTTTGGAGAAATTACCATTAATATTTCTTACCGTTGTGCCAGCAAAGGGTTTTCACTGGTTATGACCAACGTTCTCCGTGCACAGCAAATCTAAACAGCGCACACAATATAATTAAACCTGACCTGTAAATAAAATAAACGGTTAAATATTTATTTTATTTAACGTGGCAGCAGTGCGCGAATGCGCAAGCGCGCAGCTTAGAGGGAACATTGGTCATGAAAGCAAGGCTGATATGAATTGTAGACACCGGAAAATATGCTCCGAATATTGCTAGTTGGTATTTTATATATGCTGACATTTAAGGCTGTGTGGTGGGCTGTGGAGACACACTTGCAGATCTGAAATGTGATCAAAATGTAGAATGTAGAAAAATGTAGAATAATTGCGCCACTGCATTCTGGATAATTTGTAGAGGTTTTACAGCACAGGCTGGTGTGGCATGTTGGTTTAGGCACAACTGGATATTTCTGTAATCTCAAAACAGTCTCTCAGAGCCTCCTCTGCCTCCAGAGACCACCTCCTGAAGGAGTGGGTGGTAGTAGGCAGGCTCTTGAGCTTTGGCTTGTTTTGTGGCTATAGGAACACCAGGTTGTGATTAAACTATGCAAATAAACTGTGTAAATGTGTGAAAATATGATGAATGTGCCAAACCCCATTGTCATATTTTTCACATGTTTACCAAAGTCCAAAAAATAGGAAAAGCTATTCAGCAGTAGACAAGTCCCTGTGTTTTATATCATTGTAATGTATCATAGCTTTAAGGCTTTCCTTGAAAGCAGTAGCAGTCAATATGATTAGTCAGCTTTTTTTCCTGTTGCTCCACAGAAACTCATAATCTCCAGGAGCATCCAATTCTTATTGTTGTTAAATTTGTGAACATGTTGCCATAGTGGAGAGTAAAAGGGGCTGGTAGCAGAACGTTTTATATTTGGAATATGTCCTCCAGGAGGACACACAAAGGTTCAATCATTTTCTGATCTGTATAGCAGGGAGCATCAACCAATAAAATCAGAAAATAACTGAAAATGGTAACAGAATCCAGCATCAGGCTGAGACAGTTATAAATGATGTACTCTATAGATAATTTGCTAAATAACCAGATAGCTAAGAATGTTGGGATGTGAACACAGAATAATTTAGGATGGACTTTATGTGATTTCAACAAGCTGCCTTGAGCCAGTAATGATTATGTTTAAGATTTCCAGTACTTTAGGGAAGCCTAAAAGGGCTTGTGTAACAATGTCTACATCAGGGAAAACAGTTGCTTTCAGGTAATTAATTATTAAACAGTGATAAATTATTAAACTCTCAATATGAAGATTTTTTGTGCCTAGTGAAATCCTTAAAAAGGATCAAATATAAAAAGAATCAACAAACAAAATGATCTTATAATAACGATAAACAGATATATGCGGCCACCATTTACACTTCATTAGACAACATGGAATGGTTATTCACTTCTGTGCCTAGAACATTTTCTTTTTATCTGCAAACTGTTCAACAATTCATACGTACCTGAGCCGTTTTTGTATTTTGCACTTGTGTTACAGATGGTCAGTTGTCTTTTTTTCTTACCCAGAAGCTGTGTGCCCTCAGGCTACAGCCGTTGTACATTATTCATTAACTCTTCCGCGCTCGAACAGTTTTGAGGATTGCATTTGAGTCTCATGCAAATAACCCGTACATATGTAGGCCTGTGTGGGACTGCATGTTGCCTTGTCACATTTCTTCTGATTTAGGTAAAATATAATAGTTTTCAGACACACTTTTAGTCCACGAAACCTTCAATAAGTGAATATTTCATAGGTAAAGTGTAGTTTGTGATGCTATGGAACAGTGTTTTGATCAAAATTACCTTGAATAGTGTGGGGTTGATGTGGAAAGTATATAACTTATGCAGATGACTGATATTTTTGTACTTTCACTGAGTTTCAGCTGATATACCTAATATAAACAAAACCAAAACTTCACTTGTCAAAGATGAACAATGAAGAGATGTGGTATGGTGTTCCATGTTTCCCTGTCTGCATGTGACTAATTTTCACACGGTCACTGGATATATTTCTCTTTGAATTAAATTAATTATACCATACAGAAATTACATTATTTGAAAGTTTCAAGATGGTAACATAAAAATCAATGAGGTGCATTTGTACTTTTTTATAAACTAGATTCCCAGACAATCTGACTTTAAAATGTCACTGCTTGGATTTAACAAAGCGAACATAGTGCAGCACCGATCAATATATTGCAGATAGCAACATGTTTCGGGTAGTTTCTTTCTGCTACAACAACCGTGTCAGGAGACATATGTGGGGGTTGTGGAAAAGTTTTTATACCGATACAAGAAAGTAAATGACTTGCTTGAGCAATTTATGATGGCATAAAACCTCCATAGGAGCAAATGTCAAGAATGTAGAGCAGAAAGAAATTAAACTTTTTCTTCCCTACATTTTCATGAGAAATGTGCTACCATTGGCAGATAGAATGGATATGTTTAAATCCCTGACAAAAACACACCAAAGTAACAGGAGGGAAATATATTTTTTTCACCAAGAGTTCAGGAGCAACTCTCTTTACCCAACTTTCCGCCCATTTGAGCAGGCTTATATGTAACAGTAGAGAAGGAGACATTGTTGTGCTTGTTAACAACAGATTCTGTAACCCAGGACATGTTGCTGAAAAAGTGTCTTTACACCTCAAATCTCCATCTAAGCTGTCTACTGGAAGTTTTCTTTGTGCTATCTCCTTTCACTACATGCGACATGCACACCTCAGTTCATGGTAATCTTTCTTTCAACCTGACTAGTCTCTGTCTCCCGTTTTGCGACGGCTACACCTACAGCTGCCCAGCTGAAGTCCCTCGGGGTGCAGGTGTGAACACATGACAGTGTTGGCAAAGCCATGTGCACAGCAAGTGTAATGAGCCAAGGCAGCTCCTTGGTAGAAGATCCTTCACTTTCTTTTTTTTTAATGTTAAGATATGAGCTTTAGATGTATGAATAGATGTTTGTTTGATTAATTATTTTGTTTGAGTCATTATTGATAGTATGTGTTGCTCCAATGGTATTGATGACCGGTTTGATCAGCCAGTTTTTAAATTCCTCTTTGTTTCCTGCTTCTTAGATCAGTTTGGTTCTTTGTGTTGATGTACTTATTGTTTGAACAGTTAGTTTAAAGTTAGGTTGAGTTACCTTAGAGACTGTATATATGTATGTGTATATATAAAGAGAGAGAGACAATAGATAGAAAATATAGAAAATTATTCCAACAGATCATTGTTATGAAAGGAAAAAGAAACTATAATAATAGTCTCAAAATACACCCATATATTTATGTCATGTTTCCTCAAACGTATACAAGTATGTCTGATATCTGTCATTGTCCAAAAGACTTCAGGGTTTGGAAATCAGTCTTTGGTGTTTTGAGAAGAAAAACGATACATTTTAACTCATTCCTGTAGGGTAGAGGCTGTGGACAACATAAATCAATGCAAGCATGACACACCTAAATATACCACTGTCCGATGTCCAGTTGCATTGAAGATTTACATACCATAGCTTCAACGAAGAGTATGTAGAATTTAAAATTAAATGCAACTATCTCTGACTCTGCCTCTTCAGTTTTGACTGGATATTTATAGAGTATGATCCGTTCACTATGACAACAGAAAAGTCATGAAAATACCATAATTCTAAATCTGTAAAGGACCCCGTGAGTCTGTTCTTTTAGAAAAGGTCACTGGGCTAATTAGAAAAGTAGAAAAGTTAGAAAAGTTACAGTCACTTGTTTTATGTGTTTTATTCAGATTTTTTAGGTAAATCTGTGATGTTTTAACCATCTAGCTTTAGATTGTGATAAAATGGTACAGCAGGAGATTATAGTAAATGACAATTAAAATAAGATTAAAAAAGTACAACAAATGAACAAAGAATGAACATCAGCAGTCTGAAGGTGATATTTTCAAGTACCATTCTTCTCTGACCTACATTGTTGGTCATGATACATGATTGATGGATCTATTGTTGGTATCCTAAAGCTACAGAATAAAAGAAATAGAAAGTGTTAATGTTCATCAGATACACTGTGACACTGATTAGATGAGACAAAGATAGTCTGCCAGAGATAAGCAAGAACAACGCCTTGTTCAAGTGGTGCTTGTCAGGTCTGTTTCAAGTTTAAATTCTTCTCTGTCCCCTTCTTTTCTGGTTTATTCAACATTAATCTCAAATGACAAATACTCTCTGTTGGCGACAGGAGGCCAAGCACAACACAGATGCCTCATCTTGAGGGAAAAAATGGCAGTTAGCTTACTTCTGGTATCTATGTTCTGGTTCAGTGGTTGACTTTTGTGAAGCTCTAACAAGCTATGGATGTAACGGGTTTAGCAACAGTAACTGTATGAAAAGGTAAGATTTAAGGCACCATTATTAGACTTTCCATTCATTTGCACTGCAAAATGGTGCAGTTTGGGGAAAAAAAAAGTGCATGTGCTGTATTTTGAGGTTGTCATGGAGAGATTAGTACGATTTAAAAATGTTCGCACTTTAATAAATCTGTGAAGATTCTGTCATCCAGGTCTTTTGGTCAAGCTTGGAAGCCCATTTGGGGCTTCCAAGGTCTTCAGGGCTGTCCTGATATGTCCCTGTTCTGTCATCTTCCCTCTGTTGGTGGTGGGAATGGTTTCCAATTGTGTCTGGAGGGTTCCTATGATGCCTAGTTTGTGTTCCAGTCGGTGGTGTAAGTTAAAATGGAGCTATTTGTTGGTGTGTGTGGGTTTCCTGTAGACTTCTATGTTGAGTTGTCTGTCTTCAATGATGTGAACCGCGCAGTCCAGGAAGGAACATTTTCCCGGGTGAACTTAATGTTTCTGTCGACTGTGTTGATTTGGTCCATGAATGTGTTGATATCCCTGGTTTATTTTAAAGGGGACATATTATGCAAAACCAAG